TTTTTTGGTACCAGGGATGGAACTCGGGACCTTGTACTTGCAAGACAGGTGGTGGACCCACTGAGTTAAATCCCTGGCCCTAAATAGGCTGAATTTTGTGTGTCTGGGCCAGGTGCCTAGATATTTGTTTCAGTATTTTTCTGGATGTTTCTGTGAAGATGGTTTGGGGATGAAATCAACGTTTCAATCAGTGGACACTGCAAAGGCAGGTTATCCTGCATAGTGTGGGCGGCCTCACCTAATCAGTCAGCAGTCTGACGAGAACAGAGACTGAGCCTGTCCAGAGCAGGGAAAAGCTACCTCTGGTCTTGAACTACAACTCTTCCCTTAGCCTCCAGCCTGCCAGCTTCTCCCATCAGATTTTGGCTGGACTCACCCGGCCTTCACAACTATGTGGGCCAATTCCTTCATGCTCTCTCCATGGACATCCAGTTGGTTCTGTTTCCCAGAGGACTCTAATAGACTCTGTTATGGGGAGCAGAGAGAATTACTCAAACATTAACCCTGCACGTGGTTCTCTGAGGATGTCGCTGATCCGCCTGTGGCGTGGGTAGATTTGCCTGCAATTCCTTCCTCTAAAGTCTGTGTTGCCTTGAAAACAGATTATTCCCTCTCATCCAGTGGTATCATGGTGGGGGAAACATGACTGACTCATCCGTGGGACAAGAAAGAGTGGTGAGTCTCAGACAGGAGTGACCCAAGGCCAGAATTGTTCCCTCTTGGTGGTTGGTAACACTGAGTCATTTTATTCCCTGCTTTGTGACACTTTGGTTTATTACCCTATCTCTCATTTTCTGAAGGTGGAAAAGAAAACTCCACCAAAGTTGTGGGGCTTTTTTCTTCTTCAGTGTTTATGGAAATAAAAGAGTAGAAATTACACTGAGGAAGCGGCCTTCCTGGGTGCTTTCTGAGTTGAGTTTATGCATACCAATGTTTGAGAAAAATGTTTTGAGTGAGGAGAGGCTCCAGATTGCTCTGGTCCTGAGATTAATTTATAGATGGAAAGGAAACTGCAGTGGTTATGGACACAGTTACCCATCCCACCATGAGAAAGAAGAAAATGACCCAGAACTTGTCCCTCAGGCAAGCGTGACTTGCATACTTCCAGTGTGAGCTCCTTGATTGGCAGCTCAGCCTCCAGGCTGGGCAAAGCCCATGCTAATGACATCACAGTCAACAATCTGTTTGTATTTAGAAGTGGATTCTATTTCTTCCATGTGCACAAAAACAAGCCTGGCACAATGACAGAGAAAGAACATTTTAGAGAGAGAAAGTATATCTTAGGAGTTAATTACATTGACAAAATTGGAGTTGAGCACATCTGAACAATTATCCAGCTTGGAAACGCTACCTATCCATTTTCAAGCACACTGACGGATTTCTTTGCCCTGAGGGATGTGGTGGCTTAGGTGTTACTCTGTGAACAATGACCAAGGAGGAGACAGTCATTGCTAGGATTTCCATGGAGTAGGGAGCTGGCACTGGGTGGTTGCTCATGGTTTACTGGCAAGGGCGGAAAAGTTGTGTATGAGAGCAAGATGAACTGAATCATTAGGGTCCTGGGTTGTTGTGTGGGGAATGGGCTTGGGGATAATTTCCACCGAGTCCCTCAGACTGGAAAGGGTTGCCCGAGGGTCTGTGGTGAGTCAGTGGGTGAACTGGGACAAAAACTAGCCTCTCTAGATGTTCCCATCTACTATGCAGTGAGACAAATGGAATCACCCAGCTATGACAAAACCTACCTGTTCTGGAGTGAACTATGCCATCCCTCAGATTTGTTCACTGAAGCCCTAATCCCCAGCACCTCAGAATGTGACTGTATTTGGAGACAGGGCTGTTGAAGAAGTGATTAAATTACAATTGATCCTCTACTAAATCAAGATGGGCCCTAATCCCATAATCCAATTTGATTGGTACCCCTTCCCATTTTCTTTTTTCAGTACTAGAGATTGAACTGAGGGCCTTCATTAGGTCACCAAGTTACCCAGGCTGGGCTTGAACTTGCAATCCTCCTGTCTCAGCCTACCAGAGCTCTGGGATTACAAGTGTGTGCCACCATGCCTGGCTCATTGGTGTCCTTATAAGAGGGAATTCAGACATACCAGAGACCTCAGGCATACAAGGGCATAAAGACAATGAGAGGACACAGCAAGAAGGTGGCTACCTGCCAGCCATGGGGAGAGGTCTCAGAAGAAGCCAGGCCAGGAGATAACTTGATGGTGGGCTTGTGGCCTCCAGAACTGTGAGAAAGTAAATTTTTGTTGTTGGACCCACCCAGTCTGAGGAGTTCACAGTAGCCTGAGCTGACCAACACAGTGCCCAGCTGGCTGGGTTCTTATACTACTTGCTGGAGCTCCAGAGTCGCCCACTATGGCTTTGTGTATGCAGGACCCAAGGGTGTTCTAAAGACACCAAAAGAAAAGTGGATGTAGCAAAACTATGCAGCAAAGAGCTGCATAGTTTTGCTGCTCAAAATCCCAGAATCAAACATGTACAAGCTGAGCCAGCATCTGGAGAATTGAGGGCTTCTCTGTTGGCAGTGGCTCCTCCCTTTGCTGGTTTCTTCCCAGGGGCTTCATGGAAGGGGCTGACAACCTCCTGCCTCAGTTTCCCACCAGGAAAATGGACATCTAGTCTTCTGGAGGCATCTCATTCACTACATATGTCACCTAACGAGGGAGCAGATGCTCCCCTATATTAGGATTAAATTGGCAACCCCCAAATGTTCATAGCATCCTGAGGGAGGGCAGCTGGATCATTCTGAGTCTGGCTTGTTTAGGCTCAAAATGCACCAAGTGTCACCCAATCTGGCTCCAAATCCCAGGCAGTCCCTCTGAATGCTGCTTTCTCCTTGGTGTCAGAGACCCCAGTCTACATGATTAGATTTAGGGCCTTGGATGGGAAATTTGGCCCTTGTATGCAGGGACAGTACCCCCAGGAATGGACACAGTGGCTGGTACTATGAACTCAGACCAACCAAATTCTCAGATTCTCATTGTCAGAGTCACTTCTTTGGGTTAAGGCATTAAAGGCCCCATTAAATATGTCACCAAGGGGCCATGTGTATTGAGACATCTTCAGCCATTAACACCTCTTTGTGACTTAATCAGCGTGACCTCAGACCCCTACCCCAGCCCCTGGGTCAGGGACTCTGGGTTATGGAGGGATGGGTGGAGGAAAGGCCACACCTTGGGAATGGGGTGCGCAGACAGGTGCGTTTTGGGGAGGGAGGTGGGTGACAGACAGGATAAAGTATTTCAGGATAAAGGACGTTTCTGGGCCACCCAGACCTCCCTATCAGTCACCAATAGTCCTCACAGCCCAGATCATGAACACGAGGGCCAGGCCACTTGGCGGGCACTCGAGGCTGGCTGTGTCTGTGTCAGGAACTTGGCATCTCAGAGGTGGCCTTGGTTGGGGCCGTCGAGCTGGGAGTTCAGAAACAATATACAGCCGGAACACAGTCCCCTCCTGGCATGGGGGTGCTGGCTTCTGAGAGCCACTGCTGCGATTGGCCCCCGAGAGGTGGGGCTTTGCCCATATTCTTGGCCAATCAGCGAGCTTCTTGGCTGTAGGCTCCAATAGGATGCGCCCTAGAGCTGTTTTGGGAAAAGCAGGGAGAGAACAAGGTCAAGTAAGCATGGCTAAGCAGGAGGTGGCCTGGGGCTCAGGGGCTGGCAGGGGAGAAGGAAAGGGTTCCTCGGCTGTCCTCAGTCCCAGGTGGGTGTTGGGAGCGTTCAGCAGGGAGAGGAAGACATCTGGTCATAGTCAGGGCACTTGAGCAAGGCTGGGTAGTTGCTGTTCATCTGTAGGGAGGCATCACTGGATATGTCAGAGGGGCTGCGGCCCCGGATCCAGGCATCCGGGTGCAGGAACTGGCCGGAGTAATCGGAGCAGTTGCTCAGACGTGGGCGGTAGAACCCGGGGTGAGGCCTGTACATGTCCTCGGCGGTGTACCTCTTCATGAACAGGTACACTGACATCACCCCAGCACTCTAGGGCGGGAAGAAAGCAGAGGAGTGCTCATTGCTGGGGCCTGGCTGGGGTCTGCACAGCGCACAGCCATGGAGAATGCACCCATTGAGTGGGGTGGCCCATGGATGTGGGGACAGGAGTGGGCCTAGAGAGGGCCCAGATGGAGACCTGGAAAGGCCAGAGTGTGGCACATTCTGGGAAGAAGGGACATAGAGTGGGTGGTCCAGCATGCGGGTGGATTACCTTCTTTCCCCTGGCCCAGCGGGGCAGTGCCCAGCTCTACCCAGCCCAGTGTGGCACAAGGCAGCAAGGCAGCTTACCTCTGTTAAAAGGAAGGAGATGGCAGCAAAGGCAAATGACCATCCATATTTGTAGTTGAAGTAGGTTTCAGCATCCTTGGTCCTGTTGAGCATCTCATCGTTGATGCTGGAGATGTAAAGCACCAGGCCCACCACGAGAGAGAGGCCTGGGTGAAGACAGGGAGAGAAGGGGGTTCTCAGCTCAGCACAGCACAGAGGCTCCCCAAATTGGCTGATGTGGCACCAATCAAGAAAAGAGCCCCAGGCCTTGGATCACAATGCACAATGCAAGGAGGAGCAGGAGCCTCCTCAGGGCCCTGTCTAGACCAGAACCTTCTTCACAGTAGACAGCTGTAGGTAAGAATGCGCCCTGTGCAGCCACCCTCTTGAGCCATGGGCAGTGCTCAGTGGTTCTCGTCCAGTGGCTTGCACCTGTCTGATGCACCTACCTGAGCACCAGCACTGCACCTTCTCTTTCCCTCAGGCTGGCCTGGAGGCCTGAACCACATTGTCTTCAGAGCTCCCCAGGTGACACTAATGTGGACCACTAAGCTAGCAAGTGGCTTCGACTAAACTGAGGAATCAGCTCCCTCGGCAGAGATACTCAGGGCATCACTGTGGGTCTACCAGTGTGGCCTGGGGTCTGTGCAGCCCACATGACCACAGGAAGTGACCTATCTGAGATCTTTATGCAGGAGATGTAAAGGGAGTATGTCCAGATTCTGGCCAGCATTTGACCAGGGGCTGCTGGGTCCCAAAACTCTAACTGCCATTGTGCACATGGCTGCCTCAGGCATCAGTCTCATCAATTAGTAACTGTAATTGAATCAAGACATAATTAATTACTCTGTGTGGAGCTGTTCAGGTTTAATTCCCATTATTCTATGAATCTGGGGCATCTCAAAAGATGACTGTTAAAGGAAAACAGGTGTGATTCAAGCCTTCCTTGGTACTTAATTCACGATTTGAATCACTGTTGCCCCCAAATGCCCCTTCCTACTGTTATCACTAAAACAATTTCAGGTGGCCCAGCTTAATCCTAGCTATTTGATCCTACAGCCTATTGCTGAATTCTCAAAACCTGGGCTATTGTGATGTTCATACAAGAAAAAATAAAGAGCTTAACCCTGGGTCTGTGGCTCTCAGAGTAAGTGTAATTATCATCATGTGAAGCATTGCAGGTGCTGTTGGATTGATGGCTGAAAGGGTGGAAGGATGGATGAATATATGAAAGCATGGATAGCAGTGGGTTGGCGAGTAGGTTGAAAAATGGATGGACAGGAAGAAGACAGAAGGAGTGAGTGTGTAGATAGATGAATAAATTCAAGGAAAGATAAAAAGGAATAGCTCCTTGGGCATCAGGCAATCCAACTGCCACCTGGTTCCCAAGCTATGTTGACAAGAAAACGTCGGGAAAAGGATGCTAAAGGGACTTGGGAGTCAGGTGGCAATCAGAGTTCATACCCAAGAGCTATTTTTCCTTTCTTTCCATATACACAACCATCCATCCATCCACCCACCCATTATCCATCCATCCATCCTTCAAGCCACTTGTGCATCTTCTGCCCAAGTATCTCCTTCACAGTCGCCTCTCTCCAATCAACCAGTCCAGGACACTTAAGATTCATGCCCTGAAAGTCATTCTTTTCTTCCAAGTCAGAAATCTTCAAAAGAAAAGGTCTTCTGACATGTACAGGTCACCCTGAAGGGGAGAAAGTGCTTACCTTTCTTTCTACATTCCTTTCTCTTCTCTCTCCATACCCTCCCTGTGAGTAGTCACATCTATGTCCATGGTTTCCACTCCTGTTCTTAGGCTGACAGCTCACAATTCTCTTATCTTTGGTCCTAGTGATCCCATGAGCCCCAGACCCTGACCTCTAGCAGCCTTCTATAAATGTTCCAGATGTCAGACAGACACCTCAAACCTAGCATTTCCCACACTAAACTCATGATCTTCGCCCAAACCTGCTCCTTCTCCCATGATTCCTACATTGCTGATGTAACATGCCATTCAATCAGTGCCCAAGAAAGGATCTGGCTCTCACCCTTGACTCCTTTTGGAAAGCCCAGTCCCAGTCCCATTGAATTTACCTCCCAAACAGCCCTCAAACTCTCCCATCACTCTGCTTCATCCTCCTTGGTCGGGCCACCAACACCTCTCTCCTGTGCTTCCTGGTTCTCTCCACTTCCTTTCTTGTTTCCTTCCTTCCTCCATTCTTCAGAGTGGACATTCTAACATCCAAGTTGACCATGGCACTTCTTGGCTCAAAATCCTCAACTCAATAAGATGACCTCAGGTGTCTTCCCTCCTTCACCTCTCACCACATTTCTCTGTGCCCACTGGAAGGTGTTCAATACTTCCCTGCCCTCAGTGTTTCATCCTCTCTCCCCCACAGGGCCCCCTTTCCATTCCACTCCAGCCTCACTTCTTGCTCACTCCTTACTCACCCCTTAGTTCATTTTCTGGTCACCTTCCCTGAGCAGCCCTTGGTCTGAGTTCCCAGCATGGCTCTGATGCGCCTTGCTGACCTTGCTGACCCCAATTGGAGCTTTTTTTCTGGCTTGGTCCCTCTTTCCTTTCTACTCATCTGTGTTTCCCACTATACTGACCTTTTTGTAGGTATTGATGCCAGCACCCAGGATAGAGCTTGGTAGATATAGCGACTCAGTGAATGAAGGACAGCCTGGTGCCGGTCAAGGAAGATAGGTCGGTGCTGCAGGGGCTTCGTGGGCCCAGGCTATTGGGATATGGAAGGGAGTGTGGGGACAGTCTCCTAAGGGAAGCTGAGGGCTGGAGCTCAAGGGACCATTACTCAAAGACAGATTGGATTTCTTTTTCATGCCCAAACATGAAGACACAGTCCCCTCAACAACAGCTATTCTCATCACCACCGGCAGCTAGGGAGGTACTAGGGGATGTGCAGAGTGAGGAGAGACCCCGGGCTCCGTTCCCTGCTCTGCCCAGGGTGAGCCAGCCCGGGTGCCTGCACTATCTTGGCAGGTCACGGGTGGGCCTCCCCTCCAGCTCGGACCTGTCCTGTTGGCAGTGCCAGGGGCTGACCCACAGCCGTGATCAGGACTTCCTGGAGCAGAGCTGTTCAGGAGTTAAACATCAAAAGTCTAGCATGCAGGAAAGGAAAAGTAGACAACTTACCCGAGAGGATAAAGAAGATGCCGGAAACAAAGGCCAGTATTGTCCGGTGGGGACGGATGTGTCCTATATTGCTCAGAATAAACCCGATGAACATGAAGAAGAGGCTGACCAGAGGGAATGGTGTGGCCGAGCGAATCATCTCTAACCCAGGGGACAGAGGAAGAGCCTGTCAGCCTCCAGCGGCCGTACTTGCTGGCCGTTACCCCAGGCAGTGTGTGGCAGTGTTTATTAAGCTCCCACAGCCCCTGCATGGGTTCCCGGGACCCGCACCACAGAGGGGACTGGGGACCTCCCAGGGAGGGCAGGGTTTTGTTCCTCACACAGGGCTGGAAGGCCTGACTTCAACATATTCTGGGCCCCTGTATTCTCCTTCAGGGGTACACTACTTTCCTCCTGGGAGTCTATTTTGGCTGCAGCAATGGCAGCCGTGGAAGGGCCTGGTCACCTCATCTTGCTTCCTTCCCAGGATAATTCTTCATTTCCATGGCAAGGGGCTGCTCTGCATGGCACAGAGAACAATAACTGGCTTCTTCAATGTGTCATTACTTGGGGAGCAGTTCTGTTGGATTTTTCTGACCCAGGTATGGGGTTGCAGGCCTGTCTGGGGGGCTGAGGCAGGAAGGTGGCAAGTTCAGCCCAGGCTGGGCAATTTAATGACTTAGAAAGACCCTGTCTCAAAATAGAAAGGGACGGGGAAGTAGTTCTGTGTGTGAAAGTTCTGGGTTCAGTCCTCAGTAACACACACACACACACACACACACACACACACACACACTATCTGGTCTTTGTCCAAGTGACAGGAGTGTCTTTGTTATTCCTAGCTGGGCTATTACTGACGTGCACTGTGTAGTGATGCTTACAATGGATGCAGCTGTCCTGAACATTACAGACTTTCTTTCTAGCCATCAGACTCTGCACAGTACAGCATAGCAACTACTTACATAGTGTTTACATTGCATTAGGTAATACCTAGAGATGACATAAAGTATAGGAGGGCGCGTATAGGTTACATGCAAATACTATGCTATTTGATATAAGAGACTTGAGCATTCCTTGATTTTCATATCTGCAAGGGTCCTGGAACCAACTCCTTTACATACCAAGGGACTTGTGCCAGAGTTGTACTGCAATATTGTAAGTTCAGTCTGGAGGTCAGAACCACTGCTGGTGAGGTCAAGGTCATAAAGTCAGTCTTGTTACAGTCCAGAGAGACTGGTTCAATTCCTGGGCTATGAACTCATTCTCACTTACTGGAGTCATGACTATGAGACTCCAGCAGCCCATTTCTACCACTGGAAAATTAATTGGAAGAGCAAGCTCTAGTGAACCCAGGCCTGTGCCGACAGCTGAGGCTAGGGCATTAGCTCTGGAGAATACGCTGGTCACCCTGATTCTTCCCTTTGCCCTGTTCCTCTCTGTCCAGCCAGTGGCCAGATTGGAACGTTCAAGACACCTACTTAGAACACTGACTGTGGACTCTGACATTAGCTGGGAGTTCATGGGCATCACATATTCTATGGTGAAGCAGCGTCCTCGTTCCTCACCTGCGGAGACAAGAAATATATACATTGCTAGGTTCTTCTTGAACATGGATTTGAGGTTAGTATGCTCAAAGAGAATTTCCAAATGCTTCCAGGATCTTTGGCCCACAGTATCTTTGCACCTGGGCTGGATACAAACCCTAGGAGGGTTTTTGTCCCTGGCTGGTAGCCCACAGCATGGGTGAAAAACATGTCGTTACATCTGATCCTTCTAGGAGGATGGATCCAGGCACTGAGTCCTATGGGAAGAGCACAGCACTGTGACCCCACACCAAGGGAACATCTGGTACCATCTCATTTCTTCTGGGCAGAGGGGACTGATGACAGAGGGTGCATGAATGATTGAAATTCATGAATGGGGAAATCATTGAACAGAGCCCCCAAAGCTTTGTCAACCACTTTGGAAACCAGATCCTGGTGACTTTAGCTTTGAGTTTAAGCAGAAACCAAGGCTACATAGTCTGGAGCAGTGGGAGATAAAGTCAGAGATGGATACTATTCGTTCCCAAAGCAGACTCAGGCCTCTGAATAGGGGGCCAGGCCTGAAGGTGTCCCTGCTGCTAAATTTCACTCTGCTGCCATCCCATCCCCTAAAGCCCTGCCATAAAGCTGTGAGGGACAAACCTGCCTCCTCCCAGGTACACATAGGCTACAGGGCAACACCAGGAAGAGCCCAGGGAACTGTGCTGTGGTTGTCCTGGCCAGCCCAGTCTCACAGCTAGACTCGTGGGGATGCACCCGAGGGTGCTTTGTGTGTGTGGGCTGGTGCAGGGCCATGACAAATGGATAAAGGACAGAGGTCTTGGTGTAGCCAGTCCCAGGGCTCCAGAGAAGCTGGTGGAGGCCTAGATAGGCGGGATCAAAACAGAGCTGGAAGGACCTGCATCTGGGTTTTCTCTGCGCCATTTCATGGACAGTGCAACAGAGAAACTGCTAAGTGCAAACTAGTGGGAACAAGTGAAGTTGAATTAAGGAAAGTTGTCTAACCTGCCAAGTCTTTGTTTCCTCATCTGTAAAGGAGAAGTAACAAGTCAGCCTTGCAGTGTTGTTGGAAGGACCACGTGGGACCCACGGCTCAAGGACTGAGACACATAAGAGTATTTGAAACCTGCGTTCGGTCCTTCTCCTTCAGCCCTCAGGCTGAGCATGGCAAAGGCTGGCCCGGCAGGGGATGGGGCTGTCAAAAGGATATTGAGACTCATGGTATGAGTCTGAAAGTGGCGGGCCACTGTGGCCAGCACTTCCTAGGGTCTGTGAACATCGCCTGGAGCAAACTGTCGTCTTCCAGCATCTCCCCCCGGGAAGAACCTCTTGGTCAGGTTTTCCTGAATCAGGGCCATCTCCGAATCCTTTACCTGCCAGGAAGCAGACCCTCCAGAGGCCTGAGTGCAGGGACATCCTGACCTCGGTGCTCTGGTTCTGGGGCAAAACCACACCCTCCTCCAGGTAGAGCCAGTAGTCAGTGCTGACAGCAATGCCCAGGAGGCCCAGGCCGCAGACGGCGAAGATGCTGCTCAGCAGGGTCAGGGCCTTCCTCCCACAGCCGCTCATCTTCCCAGATGCTCAAGGGTGGCCAGCAGCACAGAGTGAGCTCTGGGGAAAGCAAGGAGAGTGAGCAGGTGGTGGCGGCCCCGAGAAGGCTAAGATGAGAGGCCTTGGGGTAGTAACTAAAGTCACCCCCTCCAGCTCAACGGTAATTAAAGGCCACTAGGTCTGGATGCCAGGCCACTGCAACAGAGGGCCACCCTCTCCCTCTGCCTCTCAGGAGTCCACAGCTTTCTCTGCAGGCCACTGCAAGTACTCCCTTGTCCTCTCTGAGCCCTCCTGGCTGTGTACTATTATTCATTCAGTCAGTCAATCAATCAGTCATTCAGCAACCCACTGTGGCAGACATGGGAAATACAAGGCTGAATGTCTCCTTCCTTGCTCTTGAAGACTTCTCCATCTAGAAGAACACAAAGCAATTGCATGCAGCCCAGTGAGGGCCACGGTAGAGGCGGCAGACAGGAAGAAGGGGCAAGAGAGCTGCCGGGTGGGTTCCTTTGTGTTGAGAAGGATTCTGAGGCTCAAATGCTCTCTGACAGCAGCAGGCTCCAGAAATGGAAGTGGCAGCCACCTTGGGAAGAAGGGGAAGGGCGGACAAGGATTTTTAGGGGAAGCATCTAACTCATGTGACTAAGCACTTGTAGCACTGGGTAGACACAGTAAAGGAGCCAACCTACAGGCCAAGTTCAATGGGCCTTCTTAATCCATCTGATTAGAAATGCTTCCAGAACTGTCTGCCCAGCGTACCATGTTGGCAGAAGCCGGCTATGAACCAGCCAGAGAGAAGCTGAGAGCTCATCTGCTGCTGCCTGCCAGGGCCAGGCACTGGTCTGGGAGCAGGGAAACAGTGGGGACTCAGGCAGGGAGTGCCAGCCCAGAGCCCAGAGCCCCGCTGGTGTGTTCTGAGTTCTGGCTGCCTTCTAGGATCACTGGGGAGTGTTTATAAACCCCTGACTCCTGGGCACCTTTCAGAGAGATTTGGGTACTGCTGGTTTCTACTAGGGCCTGAGTAACAGTATTTTTTAAATCCTCCCAGGTAATTCTAATATGAAACTCCAGGTGACAATTGATCTTTCCCATTCAAAGCATGGTCCATGCACCACCAGTATTAGTTGGTTAGAAAAGCAGAGTCTGTGGTCTCTCCAACTTTATAAATCAGAGCCTGCATTTTTAACACAGTCCAGCTGAGCTGTCTTCCTGCTGAATTCTGAGAAGCACTGTGCTAATCAAACAGGCGATGGAAGGGGGCATGTCCTGAGCCATCTGTAGAGAAGTGTGGGCCCAGGGCAATGCAGACAGGGAATGTAACTGAGCTAGGCTTGCTGTTGGCATCCTTCAGTAGCATAAAGTCAGGGATTTTGAAATAGGATATCATTGAGTTCAGGAGAAAGGTTCAGCAGCCTTGGTGAGGTCCACCAAGCCTAGGATCCTGTTGATGTCCCAGAGGCCCTACCAAGGGATGGTGTCACATCTCAGCTAAGATTTGAGGCACAGTAGCTATTGAGACAGCAGAAAAGGAACAGAAGCTGCATTTGAAGCGGAGCTGAGCTGTCTATAGAAAGAGGAGTGGGAGAGATTAGTGTTCTTTCCCAGAAGTGGGATGTCCTGGTCCTGCCTCCATAGCACTAGCCGTGTCCTAGCCCCTGACTGTAGGAGGGTTGATGGATCTACAGATGAGCCCCACACTGGCTCCCTGGAGGTGTGGGCACGTGCAAGTCCACCTCTGCAAGAGCACCATGTCTGCAAGGCAGGGAGCTAACCCTCCATATACTGGCTCAACGAAGAAGGGAAAAAGGAAACAGCAAGTTATTCTAGACACAAGAGGATCAGAGGTGGAGTGATAGCTCTATGGAATATTCTTAAAAAGGGGGATTCTGGTTTAAAAAAGAAACTTGAGAAGCACTGCATTTAACTCTTGAAGAATCACACGGCACATTATGTTAAAGGCAGAAAAGTATGTGTGGCTTTGCTTATTCCAGAATTTCCCCAAATCCCTTCACCACAAAATGGCATGCCATTCTGTAAGAGCCACTTTGGGAACCATGCTTCTCCCCACGATGAGGAGGAAGACCTGCTCTTCACACTGTACACAGTTGCTGGGGATTATGCACTGGCAGACATGACTACGCTCTGAAAATCTAAAGCTCGAGCCCGGCGTAAGGTCTTACTATAAGGCAACAATGGACTAAGCCCTGCTTCTTGTGGAGCAGGCAGATCAGAACTCCTGAAATACAGCTGTTGCTGGCGGAAGCTGAGCAGCCAATTTTATTGTTAAGCTTGGCAAAGGGATGAGAAAGATTCATGTCTTGGAAATTTGGAGAGAGGAAAGTGGAGAGGGAATTGGCTCTGAATCTATAAAAGCAAGGCATAAAAGAAGAGGCCGCAGGTGACCTTGGCTGTTCAACTCTACAGCAGCAGACCCCAAGCCTGAAGTGCTCTTGGGAAAACCGCAAGAGTCTTATCCTTTGAGCATGTAACAGATTTATGAAACTCCACATGGGGTGAAAATAACAATCGTACTCATTGGAAAATGACATATATACTGTTAATGCAATTTATATATTTATGTCTTATGCCATCATGTTTATTTATGAATAAATAATAAATAATATTATTGACTGAGTACTGATTAACTATCAGGCTCTATGCAAAGCCCTTTATCTCCTGTATCTCACCAGGACCTCACAATGACCCACAAGTAGACAGAATTAGCCCCATTTCATGGATGAGGAAAAAAAGGTTTGAAGATGTTAAGTAGCCTACATGCAATCATAGGTGAGTGGCAGACTATAGATTTCTTTTTTTTCCTTAGATTCTTTTATTGGTACATTTTAGGAATACAATACATTTACATTTATCATTGAGTATTTGTATCTTTACATGATGTATCTTGGTTCTTATTTTTTCCCCATTTCCTGTCTTCCCTTCACCCCTCCCACCCTTCCCTATTTACAAAGATTTTGTTTCCATTTTTTTCCTTTTCCCCTCCTTGGGAAGCTTTCTGCCGTCACTTCTGTGAAGTTTTTTTTATGTCCTCTGCACTCTCTCCTCTTTCTTCATTGACTCCAATCAGTCTTATGTTATTCTTCTTTGCATCGTCTGGCAGCTGCTGG